CATTGAAACGCGACAAATCCGTTGCCCTTTTGTTTATTCGGTGAACGCTGAATGTGACCTCATTTGACATTAACGCATGCGCACAATAAAAGGTCATCTGCTGGCGCGAAATTCGATGACCTCTTTAGTTGTAAACACGTATGAAATACCACAGTGAGAAATTCTTACCAATTTTGAAGCAATCATCATGCAGTTTGTGAAGTCAAGCAATGTGCGGAGAAAGCGGAAATCTGCTCGATTGACTGGTGAACGCCGTCTCGGACAGTACGTCCACAATCTTCAGTTTTACAGTGTACCGCCGTCGGACAATATTTCTTTGACTGAGTTCGAAGATTTTGCCATCGACAGACTAAAAGGTAGTGCTGTATTTTAAAATGGCTCAACATTTTGGGCGTGACTTTTTCTTCTGTCTTTCGTGAAATCAGCCTACATAACAAACATGAATTAATTTAAATTAGGGTTTCCGTCGACAAGTAAATAAATTCACGTCCGGACATAGGACAATAAACCCTAACTACCCTAACTAGCTGGATTTTGATTTTTTTACCACTAGAAAAATTTTTTTTTTCTTTTAAATTAAATATTAACTTCGAAAGCAGTACGCGGTTTCACACCAACATCATTCTGAAACAACATCTGAAGGTGAAAAACTAATTAATTTGTAGTTTGTGTTACCGTCTCCCCTTTCAGCATTTATAATGAGCGTTTTTTACATGTATTTGTAGTTCTCAAACATGTGGAATCACTGGGAATAAAGTTTGTTAAAGGAAATGAGAAATACCAGGAATCCATGGACAGAGAATTGAGAAAAATGATGCCAATAGCAATACGAAAGGTAAATATTTCCAGGTCCTGAGTGGTTAATGTAGTACTAGTAATTATAATGAGTGACGTAAGAGTTTCTTCACCCCTCTTTATGCCCTTCACCCATAACTCTAATCCTAACCCTGCCTCTTCATGCAGTGCCCCTCCCCCATTTATATTGTATATACCCTCTTCCGGTCACTTATAGTTATTTGGAGGGGCATATTGAATTACAATGGGGGCTGGAGTGTTAGGCTTAGGGTTCAGGTTAGGGTTGAGGGGGTATTAAGGAACTCTTTATATAAGTGATACGGAATAGTGTATATTTCTAAGTCCGGGTACATCAATATATATATAATAACTGAAGTGTTTTCTTTGATCTGTTTGAACTAAATTTAATGATTTTTCATCGTATTTCCACATGTTCTAAAAGGTTTGATGTTTTATTAGGTTGGTGATGTTTATTTAAATATTGTTGACTATGTCTCCTTGTCCTGTTATCTATTACTGTTGGATGATTGGAACAAATTGAGTCAAACCAACCCCAAGAGAAGACTTCAAACTAATAGGGAGAGACTTGAACATGTTAAAAATAAGTGAAAGATGCAATCAGCTTTCAGTTCATTTCACTAATCGTATAAATTAGTCTACACATTTAGCTGAATAGCACACCCTTGTAAAAATAATTTGATTTTACCAATTCCAATCACACAACAATCTTGAGATTTGTATTGCAAACCAGTCAACATAACTGACAACAATATGACAGTTGTGCTGCATGTCACCCTTCATTGTCTGTGATATGTCCTGTTATATTTTTGATATTTGATCTTTGATATTTTGACAATTCCTGTAGCTCACAGTAAGGTAGAATACTTTATTTTCGCTTGGAATTTATTTTTGCTATTTTCGCTGAAGGGATGATTCTGTGAAAATAAAATCCAGCGAATATACTTTTTTTCCTATATTTCACATTAAACTCATCAAAAATCAGTGAAAATAAATTCTATACAAAACACTCAAAAAAGCCTTTTCAGCGAAAATTAATTCCAGCGAAAATAAAGTATTTCACAGTACATGTTTTTATTTTTCTAACAGACATCAGATGAAATATCAGACACAGACTATGATGAAAGAAGGAAAGACCACATTTCTCATTTCATATTGAGACTGGCATACTGTAGATCGTAAGTACTTTTCAACTTCAGAAATATGTAATGTATACGTTGAGTATTTTTCACATACAATTGGCGGTCTCATAAGTACTAGTAATGACATTATTTCTGCATTATTTCTATCCATGTGTCAATCAGACTATGGTTTTAAAAATCGATTTCAGAACCGAAAATGGTTATTAAAAAGGAATTATAAAATAAAAATGAGTTTACAAAATGTAAATGAATTGTAAAAATGGTTTTATAAAATGCCATGTTGTGAGCCACCTCGGTTGCCGTACAATACCCTTATCATTTCAATTTCTAGTATGATAATTCATACATGGTGTTACAATGCAAGATTATTGATATTATTATCATATTTGTTTCTGTAGGGAAGAGTTACGACGGTGGTTTATAGCTCAGGAGCTAGATTTATTTCGTTATCGTTTTCAACAAGAATCAAGAGATAGTATTAAACAGTTCTTGGAGGAAAACAACTTGCACTATGAACCAGTAAGTGACTATCAATGACTATCCCAGCAGTGTTCATTACCCATTCAGATTTACACAAACATGACACACACTATAGTGTTTCATATGTGTCTCATGAAATAAAATTGGCCAGTTTAAATTCTGTGTGTGGGGAATATTCTCATAGTTGTTTGATCATTGACAATGTTTATAATTCGTCCAATCAAATCAATGGTAAATAGCAGACCATGATGAGATATTACTAGCATTTTAGCTAGGCATTTAGTCTGATTTCAGATAATTGAAAATGTTTACACTGCATTGTCTTTCAACCAATCAAATCTGTGACCATGGTAAGATATTACTAGAATTATAACTAAGCGTTATAGTTTAATCTCAGATCATTGACAAGTTTACATTGATAGCTTTTTCATTCAACCAATCAAATCTATGATAGCAGACGATTAGATATTACTAGCATTGTAGCTAAGCATTAGTGTGATCTCAGATGATTGGCAGAGTTTGCATTGACAGCATTTTCATTCAACCAATCAAATCTAAGATAGCATACCATGATGAGATATTACTAGAATTGTATCTAGGTGCTGGATTTAAGTGCCCACTCCCCAAAACACTGTTTATGGAGCTGAGTACCCCAGGTGCTAAGTCGGATGAGTATGGGTATATACACCAGATCTTGAAAATGTAAACTCGGCTTTACTTTGCAAAATAAGTTAATTTTGAGCCATGTACATCAAATTTCAAATCTGGAGTACTGTCATTCATAACAATATTTCTTACATTTGTTTTCATGTTACTTCCAATTCTCGGCTAACCTCAGATTCCTGATAAAGAGAAGTTGAAGATCATCAAAGAATTGGCAAATTCCGGATACAACACATCAGTAACCACTGTGGAAAATACAGATTATTTTAAGGTATGTTAATGACTTCATATTACTTTTTTCCCCCGTCAAAATATTGGTGCAATATTGTGCATATTTGTATAGTATTTGGAGAAATTTAAAATTTCTTTTGTATAATGTTTTATTTATTTTAAATGTAGTAAACAAATATTTCAGTTTGACTACATTATTAATATTTTCATACGCACTTTTAATTGTAAAGTGGGAGAAGCCAACATTTCTCGCTATTTGGCAAGATTTCATATACTTTTCAGTCACTGTTTATGTAGATAAATTTCTATTTGAAATTAAAACCTGTAAACTAAATTCTCATCCTTTTATATTGACCTCTGATAATTCACCATTTATCAGTGAGAGTTTAAGTTGAGGCAATATATTAGCAAGAATTTGGATTCCCATTATTATACTGCAGTAGTTTCAATTACCACCACCATGGTGAAAATCTTGCTGTTAGTGGTAAGGATAATATCACATGTGACAGAGTTGCAAGACAGTATCACAGTTTTTCCATTAGTCAATCAAAGTAACAATACTCCTCAGGCAATCTTCCTCCTATACATTATTATATTTCTCCCACCAATTCATGAACAACTTAAAAAATGAACTTTCATAAATCTTTACTAGTTAATTGTATTTTTTTAATTCACAAATGAGATTCCTCATTTTACAGTAATTGTTATTGCCAATAAATGTTTACATTTTCTGCAGCACCTTCACCAGCCAAAATTTGTTTATTTGGCCTTATCCTCACTGCTATTGGGCATAATTAACAAGAATGGAAACAAAAAAAAATACAGTAAATCACAGTTATTATACATTTCTCAAAACAATGTATCAGACTCAACCCCACCAACTGTATAACCATGATAACGGTCGTTGGCGCAAGTTCAATACGTTGAATGATGAGCTAAATGAGCTAATAATAGATTTCCTGATCAACCGAGTTGCCACAATTGTGTTACAAGTACAAAGAAATAGGTGCTTATATTTTATTTCAACCTCCTCTGATTGATTCCTTACATTATTGTACATTATAGTGATAAACTTTAATGAATAATCAGCATTTGCAGCCAGAACTTTAGTGCTGTCGATAATTTTCGCCTGATCAGCTCTCAAAATTAAATTTTTTCTCTAATGGTCATTTGGCAACCATTTTGAAATTGTTTGCCAACTGGAAAAATTAGTATTTAAGAAGAAAATTGCGAGTCGCCAGAATTTATTATTTCACAAATACAATTAAGGTAGCGAGAAGGGAAATTTTCACTTTTTTCTTGATTTTTCAAAAATTGATAAAACGTTCACTTTAGACCTTGATACATCATCCCAGGTTTACAAAAGATCAAAATTGCGAAATAACGTTGCTCAAATCAGTGTTTTAAAACGCTAGCAGAAAAGACTACAACTGCCGTTTCGTGGATATTTGCATATTGTTTATCTTTGAAAGGGTTTAAATGATAACATCTTATCTGTATACTCTGTTGTTGACGATTCTGATATAACGGGTGATAAGCTTCCAGTCGCAAACAATGCGTGTTTATCTAACGTTCATTGTCAGCATTATTGTCAGTCGAGACTTCATCGGAGAAATATGGTCATACAGTACCCATTTCGCCCAACCTTCCGCTTTTACATCAACCGCTTAATGCTTAATTTCCGACCATGTGGTCTTGTCCGACCGGAAACCGACCGCATTTTAATCGCGTTTTTTTTGGGGGGGGGGGCTCGCTCGCTCATTGAAAACACTGACCGCTCGTCCAAACACTGATCACTGGCGCAGGAGTGGTCGAAATGGTGGTTTTGATAGTAAAGTGTGAACATACAACTAACTAGTATTAACTGTTATTAAATTCTGAACGGCGCTTCAAATCTAATAGTTGTATG